TAATATATATTATGCTTGTTTCGTTGTGAATATATCTTGCGCACAAAGAAGACCAAACATATCAAGCAACTTGGCAGGGTTATTATGAATATCTTAAAAACAAGTCAATTTGAATGTGCTTTTATTTTTGAAGCTACCCATATATAGCATCCGGTTTACTGTTGGCTCTAACTTGACGCTGCAGCACTGGAAACACTGCGCATGCTCCAGTAAGCAGTTGTCCTCACACTGCTCACCCTTTATTTAATTTTCCCTTTAGCAAATTATTTTCTGATTATGCATGACATATTTAACACTTTTGACAGAAGATTTGTAATGGTCTTATTTTTTTAAATATGTAATTTAAAATGAACGTTCATATCGTTCTTGGCAAATATGTCCAAATATTACACAATTTTCTCTCTATAATTCATTATATTAACAAAACAACAATTATATAAATAAAACAAGACAAAAATCTCATATGAGAGTTTATTTTGTGTTATTATAATTCCCCTCTGACAGGGGGCTTTACTTCCGTTTCCTCTTCGTCACTGCCACACAACTTAAAACAGAGAAAAAATGAATACATCGATACATGACTCAACCTGGAATCAACGCAGCCAGTGAAATATTTAAGCTGCTTGTTGTAACCTGTCTCACCGACGGTTCCAAACTCTTTTTAGTTTGCTTTCACCGGGTTAGCCCAATATGAGCAGCCTGTGTGTGTTTGCATTCAATGGAGTGAGCTCGGAAAGTGCGCAGAGGGTCTTATCTCGGTAGCTAACGTTAGCCTTGCAAAAACGACCATCTGTGGGCCGCTGCGGCTCTATCGTTCACGGGACAGGTACTTCTGAAGGAGCTAAGGTAACTAACACTTCCTGTTTAATGTGTTACTGCTTATAACATTAATGTAACATGTGTATACTATGCAGCGTAGAGTTCAACTACTAACGATAAGCTTGTCAGTCAGACGGATGCAGCTGAGGTTTACGAAATGCAAAAAATTGAAACATATACCAAATTCTATAACACAGGAATGCAATGATGTATTTAATGCCTCTTGTTACTATAACATTAGATAACACATATTTTATGGTGCTCATAAATGTTTGTTTACATCTGTAGTGTCTGTCTGCACTGCCGTCAAAATGAGCTGAGGCAAATGTTTTAGTGCTGTGTGATAAATAACTGCACATCATTCAGACATATTTGAATTGAGAAACACGCAAAAACACAGTGATTTACCCTTTCAGCCTACTAATACAAGTTTTTGATAGCGCTTGCAAAAACTTTGGGTGTTGTGATTAACTGATACTTTGAATTACATTAACGCTTATTTATTTTGTGTTTTTCTACCCCTGACTCAGCACCATGAACCTGATACGTCTACTGTGCCGCCACAAGACAGCCTTGGTCATCGGCACTGTGTGCAGCTTTGCAGTAGTGCTTGTCTTCTTGGCCAAATGTACCTCAGAAACCCTCACACAGGGACACCAGGATCCTCCAGGCCTGGCCCCTCGTGCCAATTCTTTACAATCCCGTCCAGAGCAGTATGACCCCACTTCCACATCCAAACACTTGTCAGCGTTCCTCGTGGTCCTCATCACGACCGGACCTAAGTACACAGAGCGGAGGAGCATCATCCGCAGCACCTGGCTGGCCAAGCGGGACTCTGACGTTCTGGCCAAGTTTGTGGTGGGAACTCAGGGTCTTCCCAGCGAGGACCTTCAGAACCTTAACATAGAGCAAGGGCGGCACAAAGACTTGCTCCTACTGCCTGAATTGCGAGATTCTTATGAGAACTTAACACTCAAGCTGCTGCACATGTACTCCTGGCTGGACCAGAATGTGGAGTTCAAGTTTGTTCTCAAAGCAGATGACGACACATTTGCTCGCTTGGACCTCCTTAAGGAGGAGCTGAAGGGGAAGGAGCCCAACAGGTTATATTGGGGCTTCTTCTCAGGGAGAGGGCGAGTGAAAACTGCTGGGAAGTGGCGGGAAAGCTTTTGGGAGCTGTGTGACTACTACCTGCCCTACGCACTGGGTGGGGGCTACATCCTGTCGGCGGACCTGGTACGTTTTGTGCACCTTAATGGGGGCTACTTTAAGACTTGGCAGAGTGAGGATGTGTCCCTCGGCGCCTGGCTGGCACCAGTGGATGTTCGGCGGACGCATGACCCACGCTTTGACACAGAGTATAAATCGCGTGGTTGCAACAACAAATACTTGGTGACACATAAGCAAAGCTTAGAGGACATGTTGGAAAAACACCAGACTCTGCAGCGTGACGGCAAGCTCTGCAAGGAGGAAGTCAAACTTCGACTGTCCTATGTGTATGACTGGAGTGTGCCACCCTCACAGTGCTGCCAGAGGAAGGATGGCATTCCTTAATTTTTGTGGTTTTGTTCAAGGTCCTGAAGTTTGCTTCTCATTTGAATATTCAAAAAAGAAAATGAATCATGTTTTTCAACCAATTCTCTGTTTAAAGTTATGTAACGGGTTCCAAAAAACATTGTGAATGTCTTATTGTGGATAGAACACACATAGATTTGGAGTACCATTATACCAATTGCAAGAAATGTAAAAGGCAATTTCATTGCTGATTTATAGTGTTAAAATTAATTCTATTTTCACCAATTTGGGTAAGGTTTTAAACAGTTTTGAGAGATTTAATGTTCATTAAGAACAGGTTTGACACATTTAAAAGAGTGTTTTCGAAGCTATACTTCTTTGTAGCAAAAGCAATGACATTTCCAAGTGTCCATGTTGATCTAGATTCTAGTCCATGTTTGATGAAAAAAAGGTTTCACAAATTTGAAAAGTGGCTTTAAAACAGTCTCTATTAATCAAGTCTAGAATTTTCTTATCTCCTTCTGATTTAAATTATAATACAGATGGAGAGCAGCTAATACAATCCCACTTTTTGCTGTTTTGTACTGTCTTTGCCAATAGAACATGGTTTATAACAGTTAATGCTTTTAGCATGACATATACCCCAAGTTTCACAACTTTCAGTAATGTCACAATGGGGAATTGGCTGAAAAATGTCACCCCATAACTCTCAAACAGGAAGCCAACTTCAGCCTTTTGTCCTTTTCTACAAGATTGCTCCTTTTTTTTGGCCTTGTTTTTTGGACCCATGCTTATGTCAGAGCTTTCCTTACCGCCTGTTTTCCAAGTTGGTTGCCTATTTCTCTCCTCAGTCTTTGCTTCTCCTGCTGTACTTGTTGTTCAAACTTTTCCAACACTATGAGATATGTTTTAAAGTAATTCCAGTGTAGTAGATAGTACAGGGAAACGCAGACGAGAGAATCTTACCCTGCTATGATGTCTACATGTTCTTGTGTATTTTATTTATTGTTAATTTATTCTGCAGCTAACACAACACACTGGTGCTGACTTCAAAAGCACAGTTGTGGTGGGGGTTGCTGCTTTTGAGCGGAATTCGTATTTATAAAATGTTAGGGTGGGGGTCCCCCTCATGTATTCACAGAATTATTTGACAAGAAATGTTTACTTTTGAAATGAAAACTATTGATTACGATCAACGGTATGAGGAGGAGGTTGAGGTGCAAATGTGTTTTATTCAGCAGGCATTCATATTCCCTATACTGGAGCTTATGTGAGGATATACTTCTACAAGGCAATAGTCACACTTTAAAAAGTTACGATCAGTACATTTACTGTGCAGAGAAATCAAGTTAATGTGAATGTTTGTTAGCAGCGCACCACAGATTCAGATCATAAACATCATTTTTAAGTCCATAAATCATTACTCAATGATGACTTGTTCTTCTTGTCTGATGTTAAGCTCTCTAACCTGAACCTACCCTGCAATGCCAGTAGCAATGTATGAAATGTGTACAGCGATTGAATAAAGGGTATGATATATTGGAGTCCCTACAGTTGAGGAATACTGCAAAAAGAGATTATGTCCACGCTCTTTTTTTCATGTCGGCTCGTTTGTCTTTGTGAACAATTTAATAATTTCTCACAGTTGTCACAAGCAGATTCAGATTCAATACAATCTAAGTTTAAGTGTTTGTTTTTACGTACATGGCCGGCCTCCCTGGATGTTTAATTAAACATTTTAAACTGTCTCTTGTCTTTTCTCTTCTTTTATATTCTTGAAAAGATCTGTTTCAGAGAAAAATGTATACACGTTTAAAGATTCTTTACAAAGTGAGCATTGCTACCAATAGAACTTGATTACATTTTTTAAATAAATATAACAAAATGAAATAACCTGAAGAAACTTTCTTCCAGCCTATTCCCTCCACGAGAGAAACGTTGGTCTCCTTTGAAACAATACATGCAGGGATTAGGATAATGTAATCCAGGTATTAGGATAATGCAACGTAAAAGTTATTTGAATGCTCTTAAATTAGCCCGGCAACAACACATGAAAGAGATGAAGGGATTACGTTTGTGCAGATGATAATGCTAAGAGGATATTCCAAAAATAGCAGTGATGCTTAAAATGCTATATGTGCTGTAACAAGTGAAACTAAATATAAAATAACTAATATGTATGTTGGTCTATATAAAAGTGCAATGAAAAAACATATAAAGATTCATTTAAAATGAGCAGAAGGCCAAGGTTAGGACATGTTCATAGGCAACACATATGCAAACTGTTGGATATTTACTGAAACTTGAATTGTATAGGTTTGATGCTTAATGTTTTTGTATGGAGCCAATAATAAGGGCACAGCAAGTGGTTTGTTCACTTTCAGGCAATGCAGATACACTGATCCAGAAGCTTCTTGTCTGTCTGAGACTGAGGTAAATACTATTTTCACACTGAACCATAGGCTAAAATGAAGATGAATTTTGCCATGATTTGAGCACAAACATCAAATGAAATGACTGAAACTAAAGATGAGCGTTTTGTTGTATGTAATAAAGGGAATGATTCAAATATTTCATTGCCAGGTTGTGGCTCAGGGAGTTATAACTCCTGAATTTCAATAGATGGCAGTAATACTAGCTCAACAACAACAATCAAAAAACAAGAAGAAGAAGAGGTAAGCCACTGAAACCGGAAATGTCAACCGAGTGACTTCGAAGCGAAGTAGACTGCATTATTTCTCCAATTTACATTACATGATGGATTGCTAATTTGAATGAAGAAACAGTGATAATAAACCATCAACGACCAAACTGCCAACATGACAAATGGTAGGTTTACGGTGTGTAACTAGCGAATAAATTATGCTAGCTACTTCTTGGACGGAATGCTAACTGAGAAGCTAGGTTAGCTGTAGACGTGGCCCAGGGCAGCAACACAGTTATTATGTACAGAATATATTTCTTGTTTATGACAATAACAGATCCAATGCGCTGCATTGCAATCCAAGATGAAAAGCTATGGTCCAAATACATATTATATTGGGAACACAGTATTTTGTGTCAGGCTACAAGTCTTCTTGCCAACTAGCTTTGACTAACGGATGGGTTTGGTTGCTAATGCTAAGGTCCTGATAGCTAGACCACAACAATAATCGTAAATTGCAAGAAAACATGTTACCGTGTTTGAAAAATCCACTTTCTTTTGTTCTCGTCCACCTCTAATGTGGGTACTGGGTACACGACATTGTTTCTTTGCAAGCAAGCAACTGCACAACAGAGGCAACAACACAGGTTGTTTCGTTTTAATCTAGCTGTAAAGGGAAAATCAATAACCATACAGGGTTTAATGTTACTGTTTTTATTATTTTAAAAAGTTAGAACACCATCCAGTCAGGCTCTTATTACAAAGAAAATGCATACATTAAAACAAACCTGTGCATTATTGCATAAATAAGGAGTATATTACATTCCAAGTTGGTCTGGAGCCATTAAGATAGAGCTGTGCAGATTAATCTAGTATTTATCATTCAACTATTAAATTAATCTGCGACTTTCTATAGTCGGTTTAAGATTAACAAACTATTAGATTTAGTTCCGTACTGTGTGAATTAATAATTGAATAGCTAATGCTTTCAGCTAACTGGCAGGTAAGACCATATATATAATAAAATTGATTGATTGATATTATTACCTTCCCCTTCTTTCATAGTGTACTCCCTCGATGGTATCCTGGTGTTTGGGCTGATGCTCATCTGCACTTGTGCATACCTCAAAAAGGTGCCTCGCATCAACAGCTGGCTGCTGTCAGAGAAGAAAGGAGTTTGGGGCGTCTTCTACAAAGGTAGAGATATATTTAATTCACATTTTCTGATTCAATACATACCTGTGCTTTTTACACAAAATCTCCTTCTCGTAACACCTAACACTTGAGAGGTAATTCTTTAACTTAATGTTGTTTGGATTTTTTGTTCGTTGGCATTCTTGCTTAGTTCTCAGTCTTCCCCTGGTACTTTTTCAGATGTTTTATAAATAAGCTCTATACATCTATTTTGAGAGTTTGAATGCACTGTGTACAGCCCTATATATGTAGAGGTAAAAGCCCTTTAATCTCAATGTCAAAACAAAATCGTAATCAGAGTTTCATTTTAAATGTATTGTTCTATCGTATGTATTCAAAACAACAGAAGATGTGTCACTGCCCAAATATTTCCAGACGGCAGTGTAATGTTAAACTCTTGTCTTTGTCTACAACACTCACCTCACTTATGATAACGCCTCATCCAAGAGTTCTACATGTTCTCATGGTAAGCTATATTCTACTGGTTCTGTATGTTCAAAGTTTACATGTAATTTTCCTCCATCTCTCTTCCCAGCTGCGATAATCGGGACACGGCTGCATATTGCTGTGGCGATTTCCTGTTTGACCATGGCCTTCTACATTGTCTTCTTGAAATGATAGAGTCTGACTGGACTGGAAAGGACACAGACAGGTGCAGGCTGGGGATGGACTCAACACTGTGGCCATGTGCTAATCCCTGTTGTGGGACATCTCTTGAATTACATGGCCATGAAACCCCATTGGCCCTGTTGACCCCAAGGGAAAGACTAGCTAGTGCCGCCCCCTTCTGGTGACTGGGTACATAACCGCTTCCTTGATAATGTGTGTGCACTACAGACATGATGGGCATCCGGAATCTACTCCACAGTTATCACAGAGGAGAAAGAGCCAGTTGGGTCCCTTTGTATCATTCATTGTTGGGTAACACTGTTGGTTGTCTCCATCCACACCCCATGAATATTTATATTGAAGGATGCAGAAGATTGAAGGGCAGTGTGTGCATTATATGTTATACATGTATACAACATAAAATGGGTCTAGCTGTATATACTTGGAAAAAGATATGACCAATAGAGATTTGCCAGAGAACTAAACACGATCTATTGTGCTTGCTCCCAGCTGTGCTGTTTTATTTTCTGTATCACCTCTTGTGTCAAGGGTGGAGGGGAACATAAACAAAGCTAATATATAAAGATGTTCTTGGGTACACATTATATTTTAGTTTCTTAATTTCCTTTTCCTTTATTTTAATTTTTTTCAGAACAGTGCTGGCATCTCTTAAGCTTTGTTTTTGGTTTGAAATACACATTTTGCACAGGTGTATGTTATATTTACTTTAACCTATCAATAGATAACATTTTGTCAAATGAAACTAAGATATGTAGGAGTCCAAGTTCTAACACAACTGTAGAGTATCACAGATAGAAGCATAACTTTGAAAGAGGCATATAATAACATTTATGAAATTGGAAAGTTAAATCAGACTTAATAGAAGATCTGAATGGAGATGGTGCTTTTTGTACCCTTTTAATTACATGCTTTTATTCTGAGTTTAATTCTGCCACCTTATTTCATATTTTTAAAAGAAGAAACTGTTTTTGGAGGGGAAGCAATGCAATTTTGAGTAAAACAATAATCTGATCATTTCTGTGTGTGTGTTTTTTTCTTTTAGACAAAAGTAATCTCCAGTGACATTCAGGAGTTTGTTCATAATTTATTGATTGTGTGTAATAATGTTTGTTTGTTCCCTAATATATTATATTATATTATAAAATCCATAATAAATTAAAATTAAGTACAATTTTGAAACAATGTATATTTAATGTAGAGTGTATATACATACTCACCTTTTTGGCTAATATTTAGTTGAGCCAGCTTTGACAGGAATTACAGACTTGAGTATATTCTTTTTACAGTAGATAAATCTGCATCAGATTTTTGCTTTGGATTATTGCAATTCATCCCACATTATTTTTTCCGTCTCAGGAGATAAACTGTCATGTCACACTAAAATCGAGTCACTCCTGGTCAGTAATTTAGTTATTATTAAAGCCATCTATTGGCATTGACTTCATGTTCAACAGTCTAATCTCAGGTTGGGCTGTCCCTTATAAATCCAGCACAATAGTACAAACAAATGGTGGTCGCATAAGGCAATAAAACCTACCACAGTGGTTTTATTTCCCCACATGCTGTACTTTAAAACCAAGTTTTTTGTTTCTGAAAAACTGTGAAAGAAGAAGCACACAAGGAACATTATATGCAGTGTCTCCCAACTCACCAAATCAACCCTCTGGCTTTTGCCAATAGTGCAGTTGATCCACGCTTTTTTGTTTGAGGACAACCTGCTGTCAGCAGATTTATAATTCCAGTAACTTTAGTGCTTTGGAAAGTGTATTATATCTAAGCTCTGGAAATGTTCAATGTCATTGTTTAGTTGACATTTTCTTAGATAATCTATTTTATTAAGCACAATACCAGGACCTTAAAACTGAAAGAAACCAGAATAAATCAGCCATTCATCTATACTGTAGTCACACCTATGCTTTTCCTGCGGCATCATATCAGAATCTCTTCTATGAAAAAGCCCTGTAATGCTCCTTTTGCCTTATGATGACGTTTTACAAATTAACCACTTAGCTGACAGATATTATTTTATTAACACCTCACTGCTACACATATTACACACTGGCGATTCAAATTCAACTATGCAGGTTATAAATAAGTGACTGAACTTTGCCATTGTGGGGTGTGTGCCACAATAAATGGATGAGTATGTCTAGCACTGGGAAGATTAATTATCTTATATAGTCATAACAATTGTTTTATTTTTGTAATAAAGAATCTTATTTGTGTATCAGAATATAAAAAAAGCATCAGCGTCACTGTTTGGTCATGACATGATTAGATATATTCCTATAAACAACTCACTGCCGCACACATTACACATAGGCAATTTGAATTCAACTAATTATGCAGTAAATAAAACGACTGCACTTTGGCCATTGTTGGGTGTATGCAAAAATATATGGTGGAATACTTGTGCGATTCATTGTCTTATATAGTCATAAATATAGTTTTATTTTTGTGTTAAAGTATTGTATTTGTTGATCAGCAACTACAAATGAACTTTCACTTAGTTGTAATAAATAAATAATTATTGGGGGTTAATATTAAAGGCAATATTTTGTATATTTGTATGCATTAATGCTCCATTGTTTTATGAAGACATTATTAGCTGATAACACTGGTGTAATTATATTAGGTCAACGTCATTATATCTTCAGTATATTTAAAAATATTTGATATGTTCAGTGTCCACAAATAGAGGGAGTTTCCCTATAATGTCCTCAACAGGGATATCCCCTTGTTTCTCAACTGTGTCTCAGTTCTCGCGAGAAAATAATTAATACCGGGAGCGCGCAGTGACGAAGTGACGTTCGCGTTCACGTTTCTAGAACAGTGCGAAAAATTCAGCGAAAGATAGTCCAGACCGAGCTTCCTGACCCGAGCCCGTCTAGCAGAGGAAGTTGTCTCAAAGAGCCCCGACGTGCACGCAGAGGTGGGGATTTGCTTTGCACAACTGCACCGAATCTGCAGGACTGGGCGGCGGAAGTTTTTCTTATGTGAAAGGGTACCGTCTCAGTTTTTAGTTTTTTTATCAGGGAGCAGCACCACACCACGTCGTGCCACTCACGGGGAGGAGAGGAGAGAGGGCAGAAGTTTCCGCTGGCTTGTTTTGTCGCTGCGCGGCTGGTAAATCCGCAGGAATGTCGCAGAAGGAGAGACCCACTTTCTACAGACAGGAGCTCAACAAAACCGTGTGGGAGGTCCCGGAGCGGTACCAGAACTTATCTCCCGTCGGCTCCGGAGCTTACGGATCCGTATGGTAAGCAGTTGTTGCAGCACAGAGTACACAGCACACTGAACGATTGCACAACGGCTTCCCACCACCCACAGAGGCCCTCCCGAGTTAACCTCATTACGGGCTGCAGATATACCTGTGAAGGGTGCTGATGTAAGGGAAACTATCACTTGTGCCGTTTGTTTACATTTTCATACTTGGGCTGTTACGAACCGATGACACATTGTGCACGCTTCGGGTTGGCTCGCTTCTCTTCGGAGGGTGGGGATTATATTTGTTTTTGTGCACATTCTTGCTCTGCTGTTCTACTTACTCCTGTTCTGTAAACATATAGCGTTTATGTCCAGGAAGCAAATTGACAGCGCCAGGATGAAGTTGTACTATATCCACAGTGTTAAACATGCAGCTTTTTGATGGTTTGTCTGTGTTTTTAGAAAGAAGGCTGATGTTCAGTGGCATGTCCACGCTTGCATCATGCCAAAGTGGTGCCTCCTCGTCAAACACAATCTGTGCTCCTCTGCGGTGAGGGGAAAGCCAACACCTAGCGAAATTATCGCCTCCCACTACAATAGTATTGTAATCCTGCACGTACAACCTGGTACTAAACACAAACACACATAGCATGCATTATGCATTTTCCAATAGGGTGCAGCCTGCAGAGTACCAGAAGGTCACGTGGTCTTCAGAAAGTAGGCCCCCTCGTGCACACGCAGAGCTTTCTATAGGATCCGGCGACGGTGATGACTCTAGAATGATGTCACCCTTTCTCCCGTTGTGGAACACCCATGACTCACAGTCCCGAGGTTAGGTAGTGGCCTCAGCTGCGACTTTTAGTCATCACAAAGTCATAGATGGCATGGTGCCGTCATTTCAACTTTTACTGTTCGTTTTGACCCTTCTTTCACACACTCTACTTTTGAGTATGTAAGGTTTTAGCAGTTTTTAGAAATGAATAAGTGTATAACATTACCTTTTTTTCAATTTGAACAGTCACTGTATTGGCCTTGATCTGTTTTTGCACATGCAAGGCATGATGAATGTATGCAGTGTCTTCATTATGGAAATGCATTTGAGACTAAATACTGCGATTTGTGTTAATAACATGCATTTATATAAGAAAATCTAATCTGTGCCCTTTCAGAATGTGACATAGACTGATTAGCTCTCAGAACGTCTTATATTAACATACATTTTCGGTCGTCAATGAACTGTTTCCCCTCTTCCTTTTTACTGATCTGTAAATTACACTTTCATTGAATGATTTTCACAGATATTGTTAATCTTTTCAAATGAATGCAGTTAACCTTTCAACATGAAAAAAATATCCAAGAAAGTGACCTTCATCATGACCATTGAGCTTAACTGCCTCACCAAATGTGTAGATTTCCCAAAGATATTCGTAGTCATAACCCTACAGAATAAAGGCCAACTGCATCTACATTCCTCTGTGTTTTCTGTATTTCATCCCCGACCAGGTCAAGGAGTTATCAGTCTATCTCTTAGCAACATCATATGATCACAAAGCCTTTTGAATATTACAACTACAATGAATTCTGCATGTGTAGTGGTCCAAACAGCAGGGTGGCATTAATATCATTTTTAAGTTATCTGAAATGTATAAATAAACTCCCAGGCCCTACTGTTGGCCGGTTGGACACGCTTTCATCTGCTCAGCCAGCAGAGCCTTTGTTGTTGCTGCCATGCCGTTCCCCAGGCTCTTGACTCGGACTCTTACCTTATTTTAAATATTTAAAGCATGTATTATGTGAAGTCTTTAAACTGTCACTCAGATACAAGAGACAAGACTTCTAAGAAAAGATAGAGGACCCCCTTTTCCTTATTTCTGACCTTTGTTCCATTTTCTAAATGTCAGACTTGGATGTGATCCAGGGTTAGTGTGGAAACAAAGTGTTTACAGTGAATGCCGCTGGCTGGGTTTACGGTATGGACTGTGTTCTGCGTTCCTCGTGTTGTTCAGTTTAGGTTTCTCAGCAGAGATGAAACAAGCATGAAACCCCTTCAGGCTCACGGGGCAATGAGGGCAGATATGCATATTTAATCAATAATTTCCAGCCCGCTGCAGGGAAGTGAATCATGGCTAAAAACAAAAAATATCTAAATATTTTAGGCTTGGATGAATTCATAAACATAATTACAGAGGCATTAGAATATGCACAAGTCAGTAAAAAAACATGGTAACAGTATTAAGCATTTTATTTTATTTTCAAAGAAAAGTGGAACAAAGTATAAATAGAGAAGTAATCACTGCATGCCGCAATAACACTGTTTTCTTTATAAGAATCACAGAAATCATCTTATGTAGGAACTTCATGTTTTCCTGCTTTCTCTCAGACATTCATAACACACTGACATTTAAAAAACTACTATTGATTTTCCTAGACAACAGCTTTGGAAAATAAGTTACTTGAAAGGTTTTCTGTGCACAGCCCCAGCTAAAGGTGCTGTGGTGAATCCGTGTCCCTTTCTTGTAGCGTCTGTACTCAAATGTCTCATTCTCAAATGCATAATTGTGTCCCCTGCATGTTTATTTTGTCGGCTTTCAAATAAGTGCTTACGACCTTTATGCCCGAAAAAGATTGAAGCCTGTTCACTTTGACATATTAAAAAGAGTCTGTATGCAGCATTGGGTATTTTGCTGATGATGAAAGGTTGTAGGATGAAGCTAATGTGGTGAGAAGGTGCAATATTGTGGTATTCAAGGTCTGGCTGACTGACTTGGTTTTTACCTCAGAGAGGTGTGCACTGACTTGTCAGATTTCCAAACAAACACGGCTTAACATTAAAACCAGCAATTTGACATGACTTTAAGCTCCAGCAGTTAGTCATGTGACGTGCATGACCGAAAGCATCTGTGGTGTCAGGAGAGTGACACTTTTTCGTGACTGTGTGTGTTATGATTAGAGCCCCAACACATTTTGGCTTGCAGACATCTTGGGTACGGAGATAACTTAAGATAACATTTTTGCAATTGAACTGAATAACTTGAATGAACTTTTGTAGATTGGTAGCCTCATAGCTATTACTTATACTTATTACTGAATCTTGATACTAAATATGTATTCAAAATGATGTTATGCAGTAATGAATTGTTCTGTCAGAGTTTACACTTCACAAACACTTGTGGGTGGACACACTTTGAGTCTTATTATTTTTTAAGTAGCCTTTTGTTTAAAAAAAAAAGAAGCTAAACCAGTTCATCTGGGAGGTGGAGGAAGGATAGTAGTTGAGTGGTTTTCTTTCATCAGCACCACTGGATTGATAGATATAGCACAGCGGATTGGAAATACAGTATAAGACATATAATAAATCAAACTGGATTATGCGAAATACTGCCGTAATGGTGTTCTTTATACATATATATATATATTAAATGCTTGTTGGTGTACATTGATAAAAGATAAGCATTCAATCCTTTGGACCTGTTTATAATAGTATCTAAGTGGAACAGGTGAAATCAAGCTATATTGAAAACATTGTGCCTTAAATCATCTTGTGCATAACAAAGTGTTTACTGTTGAGGATTAAGGTGCATCATGATAGTTAGATCTGATGATAGCTACAGGCAAGCTAAATGTTGACAGGAAACATGAAACTGATACTTAACATGAAGCATATATCTTAAAACCTGCTCATTAAAATCGTTTTATCAGCCTCCCCAGTTGTAATGTTGCTAAAAGTCCACAATGGTGTAATTGACGGTCATATCTGGCATGTTAGTTCCTGTCATAACCATAAACAGATTAAAGAAGCAGCCTTAATGACTACATTTACCTGCTAGTGTCTTTTCCATGATGAAAGAGTATTTGTATGATTTATTTTTCCTCTTAACAATCAGCAATCAAGATGGCATAGGATCAAGCACGTTGTACTGCTTTTGACTATTGATCCACTAATGGAGGTAGTCAATCATGGCTAAGTAGATACATCTTGTAAAAAAAAATCTCACCATTATTTATTTCAAAATGCAGATATTTTTGTGACACCTCTGTGTCAGTATATGTTTCTAATACTGGCTTTGACATTAGATTAAAAGCTGAAAGTATAGCTTATTAGCTAGATGTACAGAGGATTAATACACAAAAGTATTTCCTGTGTCAAGATGCTTGCTACATTTCAGATGACACACAGATATAGAGCAGGTTGCTTACGGTTACACTGATGTGAATTATAATGACTCCAAATGAACCCATGAGGCTCGTAATGTGTGTGTCTGCACAGCAAGACTCTAATAAGCAATGTTCCTATTTTGCAGGTTTGCACAATTGAATTACATTTTAGCTGCCTAGAAATGCATCACTGTTTTGCTTTGGTGTCTCTGGTGTAGATGGTTTTTGCTAAGAGTTATCTCTATATTGTTAAAAGGTTCACTAGCCTTTATCTTTTTGTCTCTTGTGAACTGTATTTCTGAAGTAAAGTGAGTTGATCACACTTAACTTAGACATGTCTAAAAGTCATTTAATGTAGACATTTGCCTGTATGTTAGTCAACACACTGCTGACGATCACTCCTTCCCCGTGATCCCGCTCTCATAATGCTGCGCCTTTTACAGCCCACACTTTTATGGCCATTATGTTATTGCACTTCCATTTATTACAGACTAATTGGATGATGTGTGCTTGGTACCGTCTTGTTTGTCCTGCAAATTAGCAGCAGTTCTTAAAGACAGCTTGCGTGTGTCGTTTTGTTTTGTCATTTAGCTTTGGGTCATTGTGTGTGTGTACCCAAAGCTAAATATGTGGGTTTGTCCTCTCAAGTGACACGTATACCAGTTGTTCTGGAAGACTGGGACATAGAGTACAGAGGGTGTGGGAGATTATCTCTGACTTAATGGAACAAACTCTCCTTATCTTAATGTTCTTATTATGAATGCAGACCAACTCAGATTTACTTTTAATGCTGCTATTGGTGATGTTGCACACAAGTAGGTTGAATTCCCAGTCAAGTGCGGTGGAGAGTTCAAAAGTTCAAATCTCTCAATCAGCTTTGGCAATTTGTCCAGAATAAAATGAGTCATCTCTTTCTGTAACGCATAGTGTTGACATGGCCTTGGGATAAAATCTTTAACTGGAAGGCCACAGTGCAGCTGAGACTGGACCAGTGTTACAATGTTAGTGTATTGCACTTACTGTATATGAATGAGTTTGAACCACTCCCTGAAGGTCCTCTGGATGTGTGTTGTGTAGTTAGTCATTGCAACGGTACTTTTGTGTATAACAAAGCAAAAAACTCAGTTTCATTTCCTGCTCCCCTCCTTGTGAGACCACAAGAAGAGGAAACAGTACGTTTCTGCACAAACTGAAGTTGTTCTTTTCTGACTGATCTTGCAATCATCCATTTGTGATGCAGCCTCAGTGATTGGCCTGGAAGGAATGTGGTTTATTGTTAGTGGGTTGTGTTCAGGAAATGCAGCAATGTCACACTTCTTGAGGAAGCAGAGCCCATCTGCCTCTCTTTCCATCATCTACACAAAGTGTGTTGATTTGTACAGAACGTCGATCCTGCACCCTGGCAAAAGACTGATTACCAATTACCATCGATCCTATGATTGCATTCCAGAGTTTAAGTTACAGTGATACTTTTATAGCAATGGAAACAGAGCACATTTCACTGCTAGCTTTTTGTAACACTACTTTGTCTGTTCTTTTTGTCCCACCTGTTCTCTTCTTCTCGTACACTGCCTCCACAAGGATGTATTTTGTTACATCATATCAATAAAACAAACCAAATAATGAATGAATGAATGATGTCTAAATGAAGCCATGCACATTAACATGGGACAGTTTCCTAAGAATCGCAGGGCAGGTGCTGATTTGAGTGAACTACACAAATCAGCTGATGCATTTGTTTTGTTAAGTTATTTTGTTTTTTGAAACAAAGATAATCATTGATTTACTTTTCATTTAATCCTTTTGTCAGTTATCAATTAGTGGGTTTTTTCACACTTGTGTTTTTGTACTCAAAGCAGCACATTTGTGACGGCACATTCAGTCATTTCCCTCCATACAGCCTAAGGCTGCAGAATATAATGAGAAGCAAAACCAAACCAACAGCTCTGTGTTATGTAATTATTTGCTTTGTTGAAATGAAGGCCACTACGCAGTCTTATTTCCAGTTAATTAAAGGGAAAGGTTTATGATTTTGATATGACAGTAATAAACATGGTGTACTGAGTTTTGCAATATTTGTACTTTTTATAATTAAGGTCTTATCCGTTTCAAACATTGTGTCTTTCAGTTCGGTGTATGACCTGAAGACATGCCAGAAAATTGCAGTGAAGAAGTTGTCCAGGCCCTTCCAGTCCATCATCCACGCAAAGAGAACCTACAGAGAGCTGCGGCTGCTCAAACACATGAAGCACGAGAATGTAAGTGCCCTGCAACCCACCCACCCTTTACCTCCGTCACCCTGACTTAAACCTCTGGCCAGGGCCTGTGTGGATATGCATTGTTCTGTAGATAAGCTCTTAAGCAAGGATTGCATATGTGTGCACACAAAGTTTGCATGGTGAGTTCTAACGTGCAGAAGCAGGCACTATTACCACTGCAGTCTTTATCTGTGTTTATTTGTAGCTTACAACGATTCCCGGAGCTCATTTAGATCTGCCCTTAGGATTGTGGCTATATATCCAACGTGACATAGGAGTTGAGTGATCCCAAAGCTGGGAAACACCTTGAATGGCTCAACTGTTAAACAGTTTCTGCAAGGTGGTGTCGAAATATAGGTGTAAAATAGATAATTGAGCTATCAGAAAGGTTCCAGTTTGTGTTACAATTGACTTCTTTTTACATTTGAAGCTTCTATTGAGGTTTTCAAATGGAAGTTAAATGATCTGTTGTTATATTTTATGATGCCATCACCCTAAAATAAATCCTCACTTTGAATATTGAGGATGTATTTATGTAATGTATGGTTCTGTTGGATTGCTGCTAGACCGACAGTTGCGTGTGTTTCATTATGTGAGGAAAGTTTTAGTTAGAAAATAGTTCTATGCAGCCACCATTGTAATCTGTATAATATATACAATATTAACATCAAATAAAAGGGTTGCCCAATCTTCATCTGCAACTGTGCAGAAACACTTGGTTTGAACAGGATGAATAGACATGGGAAATGAAATGTTGCACAGCATTTGAATGTTGATGTAGAATTGAATGGTGCTTTGAACTCTCCTGTACAGCACTTGTGTACACATGGTATACTATACATACATATATGGCATGCATTTGGCTAAGTCCCTCCTGTATATGCATTCATCAATAAACAGACATCCACTCTGTGAACTATAGAGCAGAGGCGGATGTGCCACCTGACGCCTCCCACCTCCTCCAGCTGACTCTTCTACAAACGCGCCACTACAACAGGTGTTAAAAAGTATAGGCGGATATATGAAAGAGCAACAACTTGTTAAGAAGCGTAAAGTTGTTCCTTGTGTTAGTCTAACATGTGACAGTATGAACACACACATGATCACCCTGGCCCCAAGCAAGGGGGTCATTGGAAGGTCCTGTTGGAAGAGACCTGCATGTGTCAGAGTGTGTTGTGTTGCACCGCTTTGTGAGGGACGAGTCACCAAATAGGTTTACAGTAACATCACACTCGCTATGCTGTCTGTTCCTACAATCTCTTATTGTTGCAGCTGATGCAATTTGACTGTAATACCCCTCCTGATTTGGTTGTCTGTGCAGGTAGGATACAGTGCATGCAGACACTTGCCCACATACGAAACACAAACGCAGCTCCTACTTTCTTTATGCTACATTTCCGACCAAATATTGTGTATCCTCTTGTGTTATATAACAACAGTGGTTATTATGTATCAGGTGATGGACTCCTGTGTGTGGCTGTGTGGGAGGAAATCCACTGCTGAAAGGTGTGTTTGAGTGTGTGAGTAAGACTGGTAATTTCTGTTGGAGCTTTGGGTCTTTGTCGGGGGGAAAATGGGAATTTGCATTGTAAAGACTCAATAGTTTGCTGTTTGCCATTGTAATAGGTAAATAGCTTGTTATGAGTGCTCAGTTTCCCTTGTCACTCACTGTGGCTTTATCCAGTTTTACATGACACACATAGAGGAAAAAAGGAAACTGCAGCTGGAAGAAGTATTGAAAGACTCAGCAGCAGCCATTAAAGAGCAACATACAGCAGATCACATGCTGAAATGAAAGCCGCTATTTGACATTGCTCCTGCATATGAAACATTTTCCTGAATCTTGTCTTATTTTACTACCAGTACAGCTTGAAAACTGTTGTTAGGCAGAATGGGAATTAGTGTTAAAATACCTCAGTGTATTTATTCGGAAAAAACATGGGGTTTACTCGGATTATTTAGGATTATGCAGAATCAATGCCTTTACCATGGGCCAAATACAAGTTTTAGATGTCTTTTATAATATGTCAATATGAAATCAAATCATTTTTAATCTGAGGGTGGTGGTCCAGACATCTTATTTATAAGGTTATATTGCTGTTTGAGATTATGACCATGTTGATGCCAGGTTCTGTTTCATCAAAACAGGGACGATTGCATAAAGCTGTGCTTTTTGTTCTTAAATCATCAAAGCATTTTAATACCTACCTATGCTTTACACAGAGTGGATTCTGGTTGTGCTCACGCTGTTGCCAGGAGACTCCCCGGGTTTCAGTTTTGGAATGGCTGTGTGGACCAATCAGCTGTTTGTTGTGGCATCAGCCCACCAATCAGCTGTGTCTGTGTGCCCTGTGTGGGAGGGCTGCTCCTGTGTTTCTACAATACCTACCATCCTGAGCCTCTCTCCAGGGGGCGGGGGCAGGGTGGGCACTGGGGGCTGGCTGCTCTCTACCAGTGTGCTAGCATGCACAGAACATGCATGAATGTTCGCATACGTGTACTGTAGATACACACACACACACACACATGATTATCCTCTGATACGTTTCCTGTCTTTGTTCCCTTTCTCTTATTTGTAACTGTTGATTCCTAAAACAAGTTTGTTACACAGTACACACAGTATTCAAATGTAGTTCTATTATTACATTTGCTTTTACATAATCATTGTGTTTTGCCTGTCATGTTGTCAAAACCCACTTATCAGTTGTGACAAAAAGATCTAGCAAATAGCATTTCACCAAATAAAACTAATTATGCCATGACTTCAAAAACGATTGCAATGTTTTCTAATAAAAACAAATACAACATACCCAGACTTTAAAAACTATTACAAAAAACTTGTTGTGGTGGTGTTGTTTTCCAGTAAGACGCACTCCTTTTGTGCCAAGTGTCTTAAATGTAGATTTTCTTTTGTTCACACTTAGACACATCATATAACACCCCTGTCTGTTCTGTCAGTGTGATGCACAAACTTTAGCAGAGAGGGTTCTCCGCTTCCTCTGAACTCATATCTGTGGTGGTTGTTATCTACTCCATTTATGTGAAATGATTTGGTAACCAAAACAGATTGCCAAGATAACCTAGTGTACGTCACTGTGCAAAAAAGCTAGCATGAGTCCTTGAGACTTGAGTAACAAGGCAAGACGTGTCTGCTTGTTTGACTGTATTAAAAAACACTTTAGATATACAGAATAATAACAGAATAATTTCAAGGTTGAGTTGTCTAACTTTACTAAGATGGTAAAAATGTCACACAGTTTTTGATAGTCACGCATGCTAATAAGGTAATGTTTTTGATCAAACACAAACAAATGTGCTTTTTTCTTTATTAAAAATCTCTTTCTGATATATTTTGTGAATGTTTTCTGACCTTTGATCTCTCTTTTTGTCTTCAGGTGATCGGTCTATTAGATGTTTTCACACCAGCAACAAGCTTAGAGGAGTTCAATGATGTGTAAGTGACACTTCCTCTCACCCCTTCACTGCTGTCTTTTGGTGTCTGTTTATTGTCTCTGCGTCTCTTTTGTCTTAAGCTCTCTTCAGTTTTTTTTCATACTCACACAATGCAACCCTTCATATCAGCAGATGATTGCAAGATAAACACAACAGCAAAGTTAGGAACACATCATATCACTGCATCTAATAACTTAATGTGAATGCAGCATGTGGCAGGTTTCACCAAGGTGATTGTAGGGCGAACTTGTGCACAATGCACATCACAGCTAGTCTCCATGGTAACAGCCGTGTGTGTGTGTGTGTGTGTGTGTGTGTGTGTGTGTGTGTGTGTGTGTGTGTGTGTGTGTGTGTGTGTGTGTGTGTGTGTGTGTGTGTGTGTGTGTGTGTGTGTGTGTGTGTGTGTGTGTGTGTGTGTGTGTGTGTGTGTGTGTGTGTGTGTGTGTGCAGAATACTCAATCAGAGTCCTTGAATTCTCAGTGTGCTGTGGCGTCATCAGCATGTTGCACGTTTGTGGAAATGTAAGATGAAGCTACACACTACGCAGACACCCAGCACTGAAGTTAGACAATTATTTTTCATTTCATTTCAATCTTTATTTCGAACAGATTAAAAAATGTAAAAAACAAATGTGAAAAACAGAATACCGTATTGTTAAAATACAGTATTTATCAATATTCATAATAATATTTATATATTCAACAAAAAATAATAATAAATCATATTTGTCCGAAAGGGAGCAGGAGGACACAAATGCTTATTAATTCCCACCCCACTACTTACTGCTGATCAATGATTATCCTTTAAATCATTTCTGCAAGTTATTCCTACTTACATATTTACATTTATACATACATTTACAATAATTTCTCATCTTCAATCACCTTTCTTCATTCTCATAGTTTTCCAAAAAAGAGACACAACTAATTAAGAGGCATGCATACAAATATTAAAAGATAGAAATTACACAAATGTGAAAAGTAACAAAGACAGAAATAATTGTGCAATACAGATCGAGCAGATGTGACATTCAGAAACTTCACATATACTATTGTATTATATTTGGTCTCTTATGGCTTATCTGTTAGCTGTAAAATAAACATTTCACTATCAATAAAAGGTAAGTGAAACAATCAAAATGTTCCTGGTAACAATCTTTATTATCAGTTCCCCTTCTTTCTTTCTTAACATGTTTGGAGAATGCTTGAACCACTGGCTATCTTTCAAATTGGAAAGTTAAAAGAATAGTTTGTGATTTGTAAATGAAGTCAATATTTCAAAGTCATTATTGCAGATAGTAAAACATCTTTTTTCAAATTCTTAAAGAATTTAAGAAAGCTGCAGAAGATAACAACATAGGTTTCAGAAAACAAATATAGCCATGCAGACATTTGGAGACCACCTCTCATCATCTGAACTGTATGATTTGCAGATACTTGGTGACCCACCTAATGGGTGCAGACCTTAACAACATCGTCAAGTGTCAAAAGCTGACCGATGACCACGTCCAGTTCCTCATCTACCAGATTCTCCGAGGCTTAAAGGTCAGTGAAGCTCCCAGCGAAACAGAAGAATGTATCTAGAAACTGGTGCTGTTCGACATGTTTCAAATCAAATCAAGTTTTATTTATAAAGCACATTTTTAAAACGATTTTTGGTCGAGCCAAAGTGCTGTACATACAATAAAAATACCTTACAATAAAGACACTTTTACAACAAATACAACAGCACAGTTTGTACAGAATATCAGTATGAGAAAACGACACCCTCTGTCCTTAGACCCTCACATCGTACATCGTTTATCAGTCGGCTGTCTTCCTAGGCTGATCTGTTAGGCTACTAACTTATGTTTTGTCAGTAATTTGAAAATAAATAAAAAAATTACTTAATTAACCTATTTTGGTTGTAGAAACATAATCTTTATCTAAATCTAACAGCCAAATGAATGAGAATCGGTCTATTTAAAGTTTTTCTCTAACCTCTTGCCGTTATTGTGGCTGATATTAAGCTCTCTCTGAATACTTCATCTGTTGGGGTAACCCAAATTAAAGTAACCTGCAAGTAGAAGGTATCTGGCATTGATGATTTTATCAATAAATGCAGTCTTTTTTACTTGCTCTCGCCGCTCTGCAATATGTGTAAATATACATTTGTGGACTGGCATATATAACAAACGGTTCTATTATTTAAGAGACATTACTTTTTGGTGTAAGATTCCAAGGTTTTAATGTCATATGCACATAAGCTACAGTGTAGAAATGGATCTGAAAATATTATGACCCGAGCTCCTCCAACGATGCAACATATATAATAAATAAAAAAATACAAATAAAAAATTGTGCAAGAAGTCTATATACACGTAAATAGAATATGATATATACAAGAACAGAATGTACATTTCATAGTGTACAGTAGATGAAATTAAATACGGTTTATTACGGTGATAACTATTGAGATATATAACTATATCGCAAGAAGAGGGAAATGCTCAACAGAACTTACAATAATTTGTTAACTACTGACACACGCGGTTACACACACACACACACACACACACACATACACATACACATACACACACATACACATACACATACACATACACGTACACACAATAAACTGTGACAGTACAAAAATAGCAGATTAAATACACTTTGGGCTGTGTTCCAATTGAGACTGCAATATAAGTTCAATCACCATTATTTTGTTCTTTTTCCTCCCCACAGTACATCCATTCTGCAGATATTATCCACAGAGTAAGTAATGACTGTTTATTTTCCTTTAAACCACTTCAGTTTTAAAGGTGATGGATGTTGTTGTTCAGACAATTGATGAGTTAACCTCCTGAAGACGTCATCAGCTACGTCAACAGAGACCGGGAAAGGCTCCGTTACTTTTGCATCAATGCTTAATTTTATTTTCTTGCTCCCTTTTCTCCTTAGGACTTGAAGCCTAGTAATCTGGCTGTGAATGAAGACTGTGAGCTCAAGGTGAAATATGGTGTAGTTAAAATGTCATCGTATAAGATTCAGAGGATCTAGTGTCGAGATTAAATGGTGCAGCCCATTTCCTCACTCTCTCTACCTCTCAAACCAAAACAAATATTTTCCCCCTCAGATCCTGGACTTTGGTTTGGCACGGCACACAGATGATGAGATGACCGGCTACGTAGCCACCCGGTGGTACCGAGCCCCAGAGATCATGCTCAACTGGATGCACTACAATATGACAGGTACACACACTGATTAAATCAGAAGGTTTGAGGTTGAAACTGAATACAACGGTAAATAATTTGCGATTTCACACAATTGAAATACCTCACTGACATCTGTGTGTTGAACAGTTGCGGTAATTCAGCAATGCATTTTTCAAAAGAGCTCAACAATATACAACTTTTTGTGAAATCCATGTAAGAGTCCTATAGGCATTATGCTTTTCAAAGCTTAAACTAATGAAGTGAATGTAATGTAACTTATACTTGACCTGAACCAGACAAATTGTATCATATTCTATTTACAATGCTGAATGTTTTCCCTCTTTACATGTAATAGTGGATATCTGGTCGGTGGGCTGCATCATGGCTGAACTACTCACTGGACAGACGCTCTTCCCTGGCACAGACCGTATCCTTCCAGCACTGGCATTGCCATGCAAAAGTAAAATGGCTCCTTGTAGTCAACCTGTGCTGTAGGTCTTTGGTAGATCTGGAAGAGGTAGTAGATGATGCATACTTCATAATACTATATTCAAGGGTCTTCTCACACAAGCTGTTGCTTTTGTTGCAAGACCACAGTGATTCAAGTACACACACATGTACAAGTGCATGCGAGACTAGTGAGGGCAGCGTGTGTTAGAATATGTGCATGCATGTGATAGTAGTTAAGAGCTCCTGCAGTCTATGACTCAGCGCTGCCCACTGTTGTCTGCACTGCTTCTCTAAGATGCAGTACACCTTAATGTTTCCCTCCCACAGAGCTCTCATTCAGCAGCAACAGAATATAACAATGTCCAAACACACAGAAAGACACTGTGTAATCGGGACTCACACGCATGCATACATACACACACACACGCACACACAAACGCACACACACACACACACATACACACATACACATACACACATACACACATACACATACACATACACATACACACACACACACACACACACACACACACACACACACACACACACACACACACACACACACACACAGATTGTGATTCCTGCTCTAAATGATCAAACACACCATTCCTTCACTCAGTGCTCCGTGGGTGTTTAAATGTGTGCCCTCAGACCAAAACCAAATCTGGTGGTGGAGCCACCCACCTACGAGGCACAGTTAAAAAAACACTCTTTATGGACATTTTCATTTTACCTGTATCAGCAAATTAGTGAAAAGTGGTATTTTTAATCTAGAGGCTACAGACAAAGCAAAATGAAATCTTGCATAATATAAACTCATGCACATTTTAAGGTTCAATGCGCAGGAGCTCGTTCCAAAGGGTAAGGGAACATCTAAATGTGTAGATTAAACATGTTTAGGGTTAAATTGCATTTATATTTTCTATTTGGCATCATTTTATATGCAGAAACTGGTAAGAATCTGCAGATCAATGATTAAAAATGAACATTAGTTGCATTAAATATTAAATAATATTTTGTTCACCTATGACAGCTCTTTCCCCCTCTCTCCTTATCCAACACCCACCTTCCTGTTTTCCTTCATGCGTGTGGTAGACATTGATCAGTTGAAACTTATAATGATGCTCGTTGGAACCCCAGGGCCCGAGCTGTTGATGAAAAGCTCTTCGGAGTCTGTGAGTGTAAAGTACCATGTACCGCCCCTCCCGCCTGTGTTTGTGTCGCCTTGGCAAGAGACACACAGTTACTCTACTTTGTACTGCTACCACTACTTCTCTGCTGCACCTGTTTCGCCCTGAAATTGTGTGGCTTTATTTGCACTTAGCTTAAGGCTTTGATTCCCATTTTTGTTTCTAGCACGTACCATGAACACATACAATCTTCTAACCTCTCCCTATGAAAAAGTAAGAGGACTCTAGTGCAGCAATTGGCTAATGCAACCATGAATCTCTTTCATAATAATACTCTTTTAAAGGGTCATAGTCAGGCTATGGTTGTCATTCATACAGGGGTGGAGAAAGTATTCACATCCTTTACTTGTGTACAAGTCCTGCATTGAGAATGGTACAATTATTACAATATAATCATGACAATGTACTTTAACATACATCAAAGTTCTTCATATGTTTGGGTGTACAAATCCTGATCTGTAATGTAACTAGTAGTTTCAGATTTATAACAATGCAGTAAAGTAAAACGTACAATATTTCCCTATGATATGAAGTGGGGTTGAAGTTTAAAGTGGCTCAAAAGGAAATACTCAGTACAATTACTCAAGGTACTTGGAATTTAAGTGTGTACATCGAAGCTAAAAAAACTATCCTCTTCTTAAATCATCTACATCCTCACCCTGCGTGTGTGCCCTCCCCCCCCCCCCCCCCTCCTCCCTTACACAAACCCCCATGCTCTTTGAAATGCTGACCTCCATGTTACGATGCCCCTTGACTCGGAAGCTTTAGATATAAACCAGCTGCAGCAGATAATGCGCCTGACGGGGACGCCCCCAGCCTCCCTCATAGGCAGGATGCCCAGCCATGAGGTGAGACACGAGCCCTCCACCAACACCCCCCTCCCCTGAGCTGGATTCTGGGCCGAGCCACAGTTTGAAGACGCATACTTTTTAGATTAGATGTGTCCATTTTCTTACAGTCTGCATCTGCATGTTAGCCCTCTGCTCTCACTTCCTCCCTGTTTCCTCTCTGACTCACCGTGCTTCTCTCAGGCTATCTGTACTGATGGTAATGCGTATTGATTCTGAAATTAGAGCCTAATGTTTCTGTAATGATGTGGCTTGTGTTAAAGTGCTTGCATCATGCCGTAATTGGAGATTGTAAGGCAATAATAGTTTCTGCACCAGGCAATTGCATTACATCAATGTTACGTCTCAAAAATATTTGACATTTTTAGGCTGCAGCTCTAGCGAAGTGCCACTGCGTTATCTTTTATTGTTTTGCTATTTTGTTGTTCTTTTCTCATAGGCGAGGAACTACATTAACTCACTTCCTCAAATGCCTAAGAGGAACTTTGCTGATGTGTTTATCGGTGCCAACCCTCTTGGTAAGTCCCCTTTCAGCACCGAGCTATACTACTCCTGGCTCACTGAGTCCCTCTAGTGTTATTAGAAAGTCACTGTTTTTCTTGGTCAGGACTCAGGACTATCCTCAATTATTATAAGTTTTGCCCAATTCAAATAAATCGCTATAAAATATACTCACGACAGCGATGAAATACGTTTTAAAATCTATTCAGTTATATTCATTACAGGAAAAAGGTAATAATCAAGTTTTTCTTGTTGCTGTGTTTAAGCTGTGGACTTGCTGGAGAAAATGCTGGTGCTAGACACAGACAAACGGATCACAGCCTCCGAGGCTCTAGCCCACCCGTACTTCGCCCAGTACCACGACCCGGACGACGAGCCCGAAGCAGAGCCTTATGACCAGAGCTTTGAAAGTCGTGAGCTGGAGATTGAGGAATGGAAGAGTAAGTACATCGTGGATACCTGGGGCAATAACCTGAACTAGCTGGGAGGAAAAGGCATACATGTTAATTGTTTATTAATAGATTACCTTAACAACACCTCTTTTTGTCTTTCAGGGTTAACCTACGAGGAGGTAGTCAGTTTTGAGCCGCCGTCATTCGACGGAGACGAGATGGAATCCTGAGTTGGAGGAAGAGGAGGCACCTTTTACTTCCGTATTTTGTTTTCCAAGAAACACTCTTTAAGGACTATGAGTCTGTGATGACTATCCACAACTTTCTCACACACACACACACACACACACACACACACCACACACACACACACACACACACACACACACACAACCATGACATTCAAGTGCCTGCCGTCATTCATCTCCGGGGGAAGTTGTTTTATCAGGGATAAAACTCCACATCCTGTTCCTTCTGTCCCCTACTTTGCTGTTTTTGTTACTCACTGAGGCAGACTTTAAATTCTCCTTATATTTTTACCTTCTTTATTGTTAATATTGATCCCCTCTTTGATTCAGAAAACTACAAACAATGTCAGTAACTCCTTTTATGTATTTTATAAAACAAATGACCACTCAGCAGTAATTAATATTGTAGGAAAGAAGTTTGATAGAAACCTTTCATACTGCAGTGTGTCTAAAGTTTATCTTTCCCCCACACATTAAATTAAAACGATATTTCTATCATATTAGAGAATTGCGTAAATATCACAAACAGTATTTGTAATTTAGACAATAGTTAACCTATTTCTATAATAGACATAATATCTGAGTCACACTTAGCTGAGCCCTTTGAAAGTATGATGTTTATTACTAGAGTTTAGCCCAAAATGGCATATTAAAATATTCAGTGTGTTATTTAATACAAGTATTTATAGGATAGGCTAAAATATAAAATATTTACCTCTACATGGCAAATTCAAGGCTTCATATTTCTTATTGTTGGATTTGAAGGTTTACGGTGACCCTTTTTTAACCAAAATGTCTTTGGAGTGTTGGGAAACATGGCTTATCTCAACTACCTAACATTTGTTTAGTTTCTACTCTTTTTCTCCATATCATTTTTTCTTAAAGCACTTCCTTTCTGCTGTTCCAGAAGAATGTTACAGTCCCCATCACTCTACATTTTCGCATGAAAAAGCCAGATTTGGCTAGTTAGTTTTTTTTAATGTGTTTTTTCCCACCACAACACCAACTCACAATGTACTTTAATCATATTGCATTTATAAAACACAGTACTATTAATGTTAATTGAATGTTCGGGGCACCAGTTCGCCCTGTATTTATGACATTTTGTTATGTTGTTTGTATATCGATGTAAAAGAGAATATTATTTGTCAGATTTTAAGGTTCTTTTATTATTTATGGAAAGCTTACTGTTTCAGAAACCAAATGTATCGTCAATGATCTCAAATGTCTTTTAAGCCGTGGTGACTGCCGTTACAGCTTGTGTATCAGGAACATTGTGAGTACAATGTTGCAGATATTCTAGCAGTTCTCGAACATGTATTTATCATATTGTGTTCACTGAGGTACTGCCCTCCAAAGGTATCCTATTTTGAAAAGAAATTCAATATAAAACCTAAAAGAAAAAATATGTATTCCATGATTTTGTATTGTCGCCAAAACCACTAAACAGTATACTCATTGTCCTGAAGTGTACTACAAAAATTGACAAAATCTTATTTCCATGTGAACTATTTTAGGGATCCTTGTGAGATACAAACTATATCCACAGTAACTCTGGCCAATGTCTACCAAACATCAGTGTCTTCACAATTTCATTTGTAACTGCTTGTTTTCTTGTAGCTTTTCTCCTAATATTATTTTATTCTTTGTGTGTTAAATCAAGATGTGATGTTATCCTGTGATTCTTGTAATATTGATTGTTTTTCTAGCAATGCTAGAATTGTATTTGTCATTCATTTGAATAATTTAGCAAGGCACATGTTTGTAAGACAGAGTGTACGTTTACTCACTGGATGCTGAAGGGCAATGCTGAAGCCTCGTTCTTTGTAGTATTAAAACTACATTAGATAGGATATTTATCTTGTTCCATATTCAATTATCAGTAGTTAATTTGGTAAATGGTTTCTTTCTTTGCCTGAGATGTGTTCATATCTTTTTATTACTATATGCTTCATCACATGTACCAAGACAGCACGCCACCTGTAAATACCACCATTAGAAAATAAAGGCTACTATTTTTCAAACTTGTAACATTGTACAGTATATTGTGTTCAGTTTTAGTGGTCAGTATTCCACCACTGGGCGGCAGCACAGCTCAAGAACTGCATAACTTCTGCCAATGTGTAATATGACAACACATGTAGGGAAGGATGGTGGGGAAATACAGAGTTGAAGAACTTATAATCCAAATAAAACTTAAAAATACAGAATGAAACATTATACACAGAAGTATGGCTACTTGGATGCATGCATACACACAGTCCGAATCCCCGTCCTCAATTTACTAATGCAACAATAACTGAATGTTTTTGTGATTTACAGCTAGTGAAAGGGTGAATAAATGATTAAGGAAACTGATTCTGTCCAAACTATGATTTAACAGGTTTACATAACTCAAGTTCTGAGTAGTTCTGAGACATTATATTGAGACTCACATTGACTGTATATGCAAAGGACACTCCTTACAGACTAATGGCTGATTCGATGCTTTTCAGGAGGGCCCCCCCCTGTAAAGTGGTTGAGATTCTATTTTAGAAGCCCAGGGAAAGAAGACATTAATAATAACAACAATTAAAAAAAATGTATGAATAAAATAATTTAAATATTCCTGGTTAGTTCAAATGAGATATTCATTTGTAATTTAGACAAATGTGTGTAACAATGCATGACTATGTGACTTTTGGAAGAAATAACACATTTTTCTTATCTGGCCTTACTCACGTAAGAGCCTATTGTGGCTCTTGTTTGCAAACTTTATTTGTTCTGCTTCTGCGTAACTAACATTGAGTCAGTTCATTGACTTACCTTACTAGCTATGGGTCAAATTTAAGTACTAAATCTTGCATTGCAAATAAAAGAAAAAAATTTCCCTGTACTGGCCATCACATTGAATCCCTAAACCTGATTGCATTTAAGATTAAACCTAATTTGAGTGTTTAAAGTACAAAAAACAACTAATTAAAAATGCATCACGTCTTTACTGTGCTGGCAATAAGAACACTTTCTATATTGATGTGGTAAATGTTTAAATGTATCACCGAAGGATATACAACACCCTAAGATTTAAACAGATATATTGACAGTCTGTTTCTTTACACTCCGCCCCCTACAGCTCATCTCTGTTAGGTCGTTCGTTTACGCGCACTTTAGTTTCGGCATTTCCAACAGTTCGTGAACGCAGCGTATGTCCTGACTGGTTAGCAGCATGGAAAGAAAAGGTAACGTTGATGCAACTTACTTCAAAATGCTATTTACACATATTATTTAAAACACACACGCATGACTTCATTACATTTTTATGGGAAATTAATAATCATAATGATTTGTACAACTGTAAGAAGCTGCGTAACAGTTTTAAATGAAGAGTGAAAGTGTACCATGCGTTCTGCTCTGTGTATGTTACCAGTATGCTAGCTCTACCGTAAGCTATCACTCTAACGTTAGCTTCTGTTATATGTACGCCAAAACAGTTATCAAGTCATAGGAAAAATAAGCCACATCACCCCTAACACTATTCATACGTTTACCAGGGCTCTTCGTAATAATTGACAAGACCTGTGTGATATTCGCAGCGAAAAGGCACTAATTTGACTGTTAGCTGCTAACTTAAAATGCCTGGCAACACACCGCCAAGGCCGTTAAACGTTAGCTTGTTGAGAGGCGTTCAATTCAGCTAAGTAGCCTGCTAGCTACTCTGAGGTGCTAATGCAACCCGTAACTGCGACTTGTTTTCACACACCTGCAGCCCGAGGGGTAATCTCTTAAAAATAGCCAGAATAAATAAGAAAAACAGCAAGGTAACGTTATGTGTCTATGTTTAAAACCTAACAGATTTCTCTGTACTTTGTAGTACTTGCAATGCAAGCGAGGAAGAAGAGGACAAAGCCAAGGAAGCCTGGCAAAAAGTGAGTAGAAAACCCTGTTTGTATTCATATCACATTTTGCTCTTTGGTCCGGAATTACTCAGGAGTATTTTTTATTTTATTATTATTTTATTCCTGTTTTATTTAGTTTGTTTTAAGTGTTCCTTATTAATCACAAAGCTATGTGTTACTTTGGTTCCCTGAGAAGGGGGACATAGTGTTGTCTTTATTTTTGGTAAAAAAAAGTCTATGTGTTTGTTTTGTGAAGCACTTTTGCCTTTGTGTATGAAAAGTGCTATATAAATAAAGTTAGCTCTTTTTGCTTTAAACTGGGCAACTTTCAACAAGTAACTAAAATAAACATCCATTGGTTAAGTACTTTTACATTGTTTTTTTTTAAAATTGGAGCATTCAATGTCAGTTATTGAACAATGTGTTACTGTTGTTAACACTTTTTTAACAAAGAAGCATTAAGAAATGAGCAGCTATTGATGCTTTTGTATGTATCTGTGGCAGGTGCACCTGCTCACTGAGAAATTGTTATCAATGTAGTTTTTTTACATCTATTGAGTTTTGTTTGTGTAAGTATTGTTTATGTTACATTAAGCTATATTTACAATTAGAAAGTTATAAAAAACAAATGATCAAAAAAATTATGATTATACATTTCTAAATTAATCAAAAATGTTGTATACAAATCACGAATATTTACATTCATATAGCAGTTATTCCAAAGGCATTCTCCACAGTGTCATACAACATACATTTCTTCTATTTGGTAACAAACGCGTTTTATCTCAGTCTAAGTTGAGCAGTTCTTTTTCATAGTATATACATTTCTTATTTCTAGCCAATGTTCTGTAGTGTTCTACCAATTTTTTGTTAAATAGCTATCTCCCCCTTTTTTCATATATATATATATATATATATATATATATATATATATATATATATATATATATATATATATATTATATATATATATATATATATATATATATATATATATATATATATATATATATAGATATATATATATATATATATATATATCTCTCTATCTTGCAAACAGAAAATCAATCGCTGTAAGTCTCAATGATGATTTGAGCCACATTAATAATAATAATAATACATTACATTTATAAAGCGCTTTTCCTGGTGCTCAAAGCGCTTACAAGCAAGTAAAACAAAATAACAACAAAAGTAAAAAGTGCTAAGCTAAGAATAAGGACAAGGGGTTAATTGATAGGAGTTGAAGGCAAGAGTGAAAAGGTGAGTTTTGAGGGATTGTTTGAATGATGTGAGAGTGTTGGCGGATCTGACGTGGCTGGGGAGGGAGTTCCAGAGTGTGGGGGAGGCTGCTGCGAAGGCCCTATCACCCCAGGTCCGGAGCTTTGTCCTAATGGGCTGCAGTAGGTTAGTTTAAGCAGACCTCAGGTGATGGGTGGGGGTGTGTCGTTGGATGAGGTCACAGAGGTAGGGGGGGGCAAGGTTGTTGAGGGCTTTGAAAGTGAAAAGTAATATTTTAAAGTCAATGCAGGTGTTTGATGGGGAGCCAGTGGAGGTCATGGAGGATAGGGGTGATGTGGTCTGAGTGTCGGGTCGGGTCGAGGTGAGCAAGCGGGCAGCTGAGTTTTGGACATATTGAAGTTTTTTTAGTATGAATGCAGGTGATCCAAAAAGTATGCTGTTGCAGTAATCCACATATCCACAGAACATAGTCAAACGGGCCCTACACAGTTTAGGTGAGCCAGCCACAATTTCATAATGAACTGAAAGCTTCACATAACCCCTCCCCCGGACATCACCGCTTCCCAGAGCTGTGACTGGGTGGCAAGGGGTCTGGGGCAACGTTGGCAACCCACCTGACCTGTCTTGAAAAATGGCCCCTGTCACGTGTACAATGTTTTGTGCTTTATGCCATTAATACCATTCATAACTATAGGCTACAATCAATTTTGTTATGAATAAATGGTTTACTTGAGCACAAAGTTCCAGCCTCTTAATACAAAGAAACAACGACTTGGGGACCATCAAGATATGATTTCGACTCATCAACATTTTACAGGGCCGCCCAACAGACTTAAATGAGTTATGTGTCGGAAAATAGAGATTTTGATGCAAACAGGGGTAATCTAAGGGTCCTTACTTTTCTCCGTGAGCTGTGTCACATTCACTGATGGTGCTGATAACTGGGACAAATCATCAATTACTTACTTCCTGAGTTCCCATTGTTTTTGGACACAAGCATGCGCCTGCCTCTTTCCCTTTAAGCAGTATCTCTGCCCTTTTCCCCTCATAACTGTGATGCTGTGCAAGAGTTCCCCGTTGAAAATGCATAATTTCTGTCAATAACCATCAAGCAAGGGACGAGCATCCAAGCATAAATCAACTCCTCCCACTCCTTTGCACCCATTATGCTCTTTCCCTCCCGCTCTCTTGTGTCAGCCGCTCTGCTGTGGCCACTGTGCTGCTGAGAGGATGCAGCAGCCACTGTTCAGCGGTAGAGCCAGGGTAGGGAGGAGCAGTGTGCCATTCGCCTTTGCCAAGTTTAGTTTAGTAGCGTAAAATAGCTTCAGCCAAGTGTCCTCTGTGTCATGTGGCTCCTGGATTGGATATTCTCCATCAATACAGCTGTGGTGAAGCTAGCCAGCGGTCTCACATGCAAGTGAGTAGTGCAATACCCCTCATGGTTGTATTTGCTTTGAGAGATAGAGAGCGTGATTGAAGGGGAGAGAGAGCTAGGCTTCGGACTTTGCTTGTGTCTGTAATGCGTATTGAATCTGTGGTGATGTCAGCAGTAGTGTTTTGTATGTGTGCGCCAGATGCCAGTGTACACAGTTTGGCTGACTGACTGAGTGATCCATTTTTCATTAAGGAGCAGATGCTGACTGTTGCAGCTCTATGAGGTACCTGACTACCTCCTCATGTGTTTTGCTAAGTGTGTGTGTGCAAGAGCACAGGACTGAAGATGTCCCTGGTGGATGTGTGCTGCCAGCTTTTTTTAAAGATCCCACTCAATGTTTATTTCACATTATTTCTGCATCACAATATATATTTTTGCATCACTTTCGACATGAAGTGGCTTTAACTTTCAGTGCCTCAGATATAATTTTAGGACTGCATGTGCACTCAGGAAAATAAACAGGAGTATCCAGCATGGCAGAGTATGTACAAGCACAAAGGTACTCTATTATATTTTCCTTTTTATATCAGCCTCCATAGCTGCAGTTTATTACATAACTCATCTTCAGCCTACTACAGCTCTGTTCCCTCTATTCTCTCTGTCCTCCCATATCCACCCTGCAGGTTAACCACTTCGCTTTTTTCCCATCCTGTCAGTGGGAACAATATTTAAATATAGGTTTGTTTGTTGATATATCAAGACACTTCCCCCCCAAATTGCTCCTGTGGGGATTGCCCACAGTATTGAGTATGTAAGTCGCTTTGGATAAAAGCGTCGAACAAGTGACATGTAATGTAATGTAATGTAATATGCAGATGTTGGGTTTCCAGACTTTTGTGCAGAGATAAATTTTGTGCACACTTAGAAAGACTGCTGTGGTTTACCTGGTGCTGTAGTATAAAAAGCTGCAGTGTCCTCCTTTTCTCTTTGTATGTCATGCAGTATCGGCTTGGAAGTAAAAAAAACATTGTCTCTTGCCCAACACATGTAAACTGTCAGCAGGTGTTGGAGTGCTTAATGCAGGTGCTGCAGCACACCGATTTACACAGTGTGTGCATTGCACCCTCAGTACAGTTACCTAGTGCTGCTGTTTCATTCTGCTGCCCAGGCACTCGTCATTGATTTCATCCGGAGGGAGGGGAGGCGAGGACGAAGACGTAAACTTTTTGGCCACACTCCATCCCCAAGAGCTCCTTTCTCTTCTATGCCCTTGTTTTATTTGCTCTAGAGATCTGCTAGGGCTGGATTGGTGGAAACAATAGAGCCAGGAGAAACCAGAAGACCCTGACACACTGTCATGTCTGATGTGTGCACAGGAGTGATGAAGATGTCAAGTGGTTGTGACTTTGTGTTAAATTAAAGCCCTACACTTGCACAATCTTACCAATACAGAAATGGGGCCCAGGCTGCAGTTTAACAAACCATTTGTGTGTATGTCTGTTTCAGCATCAGCTTGTGAAAAGGAAGTGAAAAAGACTACTTTTGTAAAAGCAGAGCAGGAACTATGGCATTGGAATCATTGTCTTTGACTGAGTGCAGTTGATATCTCATTTATTTCATGTTTTCATATGTGTCGTAGATTGTATAACTCCATCCTGTGTTCTGTGGTGTGAGGAGCACCAGTGTAGCCACCAAGGCCAGCAGGGTTATCAATAATGTCAACCTTAAATGCACACATCATGCACAACATGAACAAAAGACTGTTGTGGAGACAGACTTAATCAATGTGTGATCCGTTTAATCTTCTGGAAATGATTGCGATCTTTCTGAAGGAAATACTAATTGGCAATGGGCATTTCGATGTGAGCCAGCACTATCTTTTGCTGTTTTACTGGTGCATAAAGCTCTTTTGTACTTGGCATCAGTAAATCAAGTCTGTTTCGGATGACACAACTTTTACAAACATGTGTTCTTTGTACGCCTATTTATAGTGAATTGGGATATCAAAAAATGAATGTAGGTTTGACGATCTTTGGCTTTGCATACATTTGGACAAAGGACAAAATCCTGTAGTTCCCACAGTGCACTAGAGCATGTCTGCACCTGTGCACCGGGTCATTCGTGGCACAGGTGTTACTTATCTGCAGAAGCTGTGGATGTTGATCAGAACACTCATAATGGGTGCCTGCATGTTAGAGCTCACAAATTACTTTTGATCTTTTCTCTAATAAAAATCAATCAATTACCATTAGAAATGTTAATTAAGAAAAATGTATTTGTTTTGTTTTTAATACCCTTAAATTGTATATCTTTCTATGGACTAAAATATATAGTTTGAATGCTGACTGATCAGCACACATCACCATCATGCTTCATTGCTGGCATGACAGTCGCACTAATTTAATGACGTGTTGCA